AAGGTCTTGTTATAATGTTTTATAAACATTAAAAGCAATTTTAAAAAGGTGAGTTTTTGTCTCACAGGGGACTGTAGTACAAAAATAAGGAAAATAGAATAAAATAAAAATAGAATATGATTAAATACAATAAGATGAATAACGAATGATATATACAATTAATAGTATAGAATAGGTATATGCACACACACATACATACAATGATGAAAGGGGGCGCGGGGGGGTTCAGAGGTCTAATGGCCCCTAAATAATGATAGGAAAAATAAATAAGAATAAGAATATTATTATAGATGAACAATAAAAACTGTCATACATGTACTTTATGTGTTTCTGTGTGTCTGAGTCTGGATTCAGTTTTTACATATGTTTTTTAGCTAATCCAGGAGCTTTGCTGACCTCTGCCTGTGACCAATAGGAACTGCAACAACACTGATAAAACGTATTTCCTTATAGTTTTCCTCAGGTTTCTGGGGTTGTGACTGAAATTCAAGAGCAATTTTACAGTAAGGGGGATTTCTGTTGCCAAACAGGTCATCGAGTGCATCCTCCCTGACTGTGTCACTGACGTGGACTGTCTGTAAAGACGTCAGCGCAGTCAGCTGAACATTTTATTCTCCAGTGGAAGAGGAGTTAGGGATTTTGTCTGTGCTTTTTTGTTTGCATGTTTGTTTGTGGTTTTGCTGTGTGTGTTTACGACTGGGAAGAATTTTCTCACATTGATCTATTGCCACCTACGACCATTTCCCACAGGCTGGTAGTGTTCATATGAGAGCACACAATAAGCTGCACTGTTGTTTCTGTTTCAGTCACATGCAGCGAACAGCCTGACTGTGACTGACTTATGAATTCTAAAAAATGTGATGTGTTATTATTAACTAGATATACTGTATGTATCATCATTAATCATCCATGGAGCAGATTTTATTTTCCTTGCATAATTTTGTTACATGGATAATAAATGGTTTTATTTCCTCAGGCAGATTGCCTTCATGATACATTAATAAAAGTTTGTTTATAACTATAAACTGTTTACAAGACGAGCACTTTGAGGACAGTATTGAGTGCTGTAAAAAGGAGATCTAATCTTGCTCACACAGATTTAAAACTGGTCATTTTACAGTATCTCTAGAGGCAGCCCAGTTTAAGAGCACCTTATCTTTGCATGGCATTTGTAAATAAGAACTTGTCTGTGCTGTTTTAAGGCCAATGGCCATTTGTTTGCTTATTTATACAGTGACATTTCTGTCCCACTGAGGACACACAGGATGCATAAAAATGGACATCAGGGAGTTAATTTCTTACATGAAAATGCACAATATAATATCCTGTCTACATTTAATGTCATCCCTTGTGGCCTGCTATTGAGACCACTGCCTCTGCTGCCCATTGGCACAGCAGCCGGAGCAGGAGGACCGCAAAGGGGAGGGCCGAACGGGCCCCCTCTCCTCCCTGCAACAGAAGATGTGTGCTCCTCTGAGTGGGAACTGTTTGTGAAAGAGCTCTGAGTCCAGAGCCTCAGCGGTCAACTCTAATTATCAGGTGTTGTGAGCAGCTCCTGTCCCAACTGGACGTCCGCAGGCCTCTCCATCTGAAGTGCAGCCTCAGAAGAACTCTTGTGGCTCTGTCAAGCGCGGAGGCCAGAGCGAGATAGAGAGAGAGAGAGAGGAGAAAGATGGACACGTGCGCCTGCGCTTTGGAGCTGCTGGGGATGCTGGTGTATGTTGGAGCATGGCTGTGCGCTCTCGCCACCACTATCTTACCACAGTGGCTGACCATGTCCACTGCGCTGCTGCCGGTAGAGAGCTACGAGCTGGGCCTGTGGGAGACATGCGTCGTCCAGGATGTCGGAGGCATGGAGTGCAGAGCTTATGACAGCCTGCTGGGCCTTTCCAGTGACCTCAAGCTGGCCCGTATTCTCATGTGTGCCTCCCTCGCTGTGGGCATGCTGGGAATGCTGGTGGCCATACCTGGACTTTACCTGGTCAACAGCTGTAGAGAGCACGGAGGCTACCGAACCAAGAGGACTTTAACCATCATAGGGGGGGTGCTGGGGATGATTTCTGGAGTGCTGTGTCTGATCCCCGTTTCCTACATGGCCCATTTAGCAGTGATGCATTTCTTTGATGATAAAGTACCTGACGTGGTGCCGCGATGGGAGTTTGGCGATGCCCTGTTCTGCGGCTGGGCCGGAGGATTTCTTCTCATAGTGGCCGGGCTCCTTCTGGTCACCTCCTGCTTATGTTCACAGGTGGAGCCTCAGCCTGTGCTGCAGCGGAGATACCAGGTCATGAGTACAGATGTTTCCTTCAGGAAGCGCTCAGAGTACGTTTAAGGGACAGATGATTCAAATTAAAAGATTACCTGCATAGAGACCTACAAACACAACACAATCACCTGTAGAACTGCACTTCAAACTGCTTTGAAATAATGATGTAAATATCTGGATTTATATGAAAGGCAACATCCTGTGTAAGGGTTGCTTTATCGGTTGTGGATTTTGATTGTTGCAGCTGTTTTTAATGACTCAAGTGCACAACCCAACAGTTCAGTTTAAAAGAACCTGCTGTGAC